CCCGCCACGGCAGCGTGGCCAAACCTCCCCAGAGCTCCAGACGCAACGCAATTATCCCGATGAACGCTCTGGAAAACGGGAACGCAACTATCGGCGTAGGCTGGGGTTCGCAAACGATTTGTAGCTCATCGCTCTTGGGCTCCCGAGCATCCAAAACACTCACAACAATGGTATTTCTCCCTTGGGAAGCTTCTCTTAAACCTCAAACAGCAGCCCAGTGCCGGCGTGCTGGTCGAATTTTGGTGCACGTGGCTTGAGAAACCAAGGGCGACCAGTGCGCGGTGCAGGGATGCTCTGGTTGTGCTCCTCCTTCCGCCAACACCCCCATTACCAACTCAGCAAAACCAGACCGACATACGTCGGCAGCAAACGGCCTCGCAACCGCCACGCACAGATTTCAACAGGAGGACAAAACTACTTCCAATCAGGAGTTCAGCAGAAAACACAGCCGACTTACCTTCACCAGATTAAAGCCACCAAACGGACCGGGGCAGGTGGGACGCGGGAACCGCAAAGGCTTAATCTCTTCCTTGGGCTAAAGGTTCCGGCGGTGGGCTAGCAACGGCGAAGGGGGAAAAGGGGAACACAGGGGAGGGCCACGTACCGGTGTGCGTCTGCCTGTGCGTCTCCAGGGCATCTTCCTTCGAGAACTGGGCGCCGCACTGATCGCAGACCAGGGCTTTGGCGCCCGCTGGAGAGAGAAAGGGGAGAGGAGGGTTATTCGAGGGATGCTCGCTCAAACCTGCGCAGGGACATCGCTGCGGCCACCGGCCTCATGCAAGCCCGAGGACCTGTGCCATGGGGGGGTTCCATGTTCTACATCCCCCGCTGTCGCCTTGCTTAACCCCGCGGTCCCAATTCCTCACAGAGAACAGCACAACGCACAGCACAGTGTTGCTTGCCAGGAAGAAATGAAATATTTGGGCGGGTTTTTTTTTTACAAAAAAATCATTAAACATCAATGTGTTTCATTAGCATTGTCACCGATCTAATTGTAATTGGTTTCCTGCCCCTTCCCATCGCAGCCGCCGCTGCCGGTACCCGAGGACAGTACCCGAGGATGCATCTGGTCCGAGGCGGTGCGATGGAGCGAGAAGCTCAGAGGCGTCTTCGACTATCGGAGAGAGATGTGGTATTGGGGGGAATTCTCAGAAAATCACTATCAACATGTGCTGCCAGTTTGGGCGAGGGAAAAACCAGGACGCCTGGCAGCAGATAAGCAACTTCCAGAGAAAAGCAGATTAACGATACACACCACGTCCGAAGCATCGCCGCCGGGCAAAGCTGCGGACCCATTTCTTAGATCTCGAGGTTTGATTCATCTGTTGCGAGGAGCTGAGTGTGACAGAGCAGCCTTCGAGGCGGGGGGCACGGCTCCGCAGCGTGCCGTGCCGCTCATTTCCAGAGGTCCAGGCAGCATCGCTCACCCCCTTCCCGTCCCCCCGCCCCACCAACACGACGGGATGCGGAGAAAGGTGGGCAGAAAAGGTGGCGGAGAGAGAGAGGGGGGTAACACAAGATGCACTAAAAGGAGAATTCCTTCGCCTTTAAATTGTCTCGGTAACGGCTGGCTCGCAGGCAGAAATATTTGGCAGCGGCGAAATTAAAAGTGATAAATTTTCTCGCCAAGCGTTGATCGATAATAGAGGTCTCATCTGTTAATCAATACGACAGTCTGCCTGTTTACTGTGCATATGTTGTTCTCCGCCGCCCTCGCCGTGATGTCAAGTTTGCATTCAAAACAAGCCGAGTGTGCACGGGCCACATGGACGCTCGCGAAGGGGTAAAAACCCAAA